ATCAGATGACGTAGGTCGCCAGGTATCAAGTTGGTGCCATGGTCGGCGAAAAGTAGTACTCGAAAGGAAAAGACCACGTTTAGCGCAGATTTGCAGGGGACGGTCGCCGTTGTCAGTTCTCCTAACACCGAGACTATGCTGGCCACCAAATGAGGTTTCGTCAGTGTCTAACCTACCTACTTTTGCGTTCAAGTTGCCGGCTAGTATCATGATGTAAGTTGTCTACTACTATGGAGGAGGTTGATGAGCTGATGGTAGAACTGTTTTTTTTGTGTCGGGACTGCAGTCCGTTGGCGCATAAGCCACGATGATGAACAGACAGAGCTTTTTGTTCCATTACGAGATGCACTCACCGATCCTTTTAGACGGATGGCGCAGAGTCGACCATTGATTGGAATTCGGAGGAATAAAACTGTTTCCGCACGTACAGTCAGCGCTATCCCCACGACGGCCTGACCAGTGGTCTCTGCCATCGGATCTCCGGAGAGGTGGAGGGTGAACGAGCTTGCAGAACTCGGACACAGTGAAGCGAGTTGCAGTACGTTACTCAAATACTGCAGACGTGTCTCAGTAAGGAAGCAAACGTTCATGGCAAGCGTTTCTAGTGTGCGAGCAAGTGTTGCCTGATCCCCAACTTGCATAAGCGTTCGAACGTTGAAAGTTGCTAACTTCAGCTGCGACCGGGGCGCGAGTACTATTTTCAAAATAAACTGAGCGGATGATTTTTTCTTTCACATGGGCACAGGACTATGATTCCTGCCGTTGTCTTGAGCAACACACAATTGGACTTCAAATAATGGGTGATAAACCGAGAATAGGGAAGGTAAACAGCTGGGGAAGGGAAAGAATGTGATCTGTTGATGTGGTAATGTGGAAATCCGTAGAGCTGACCGCCAACATCTCAGTCAAAGAGCGCAGAGTTTGGGAGAGTGAAAAATTCGGAAATATATAATGTGTTCATAGGTTGTGTGGGCATGTTATCTCCCGGTTGCCCTGGCCGAAGAAGGGGGATAACCTCGGGGTCCCCACCCGTAACCGTTAGCTAGCAAGCCTGACCTGCAAGACAGCAGGACTGAGCTCAGAATCTGTGGCAACGCATTTCACCAGATAGGTTGCCACGGCGAGCGATGTTCGCCGAGGCAAGCAGTGGGTGGAATAAAGCCAAGGGTGATCAACCTAAGACCTGCCAGGGGGTATGAAAACCCTAACCAGGGTACTGGATCACATAGGTCCCGTTAGGCTCCCTGGATGGGGACCTCGGGATGATCGTAACCGATGGTTAGAGACACTGAGTGATATCGCTCAGTGCCGTAAACAGTGGCGTTCGTCCATCTCCTCAATTTCTTTGCAACCTTTATCGCTCAGTGCCGTAAACAGTGGCTTTTGTGCATTTGCTCAATTTCTTTGAGACCTTAGACCACTGAAATTCTCCAGTTTCGGTTCGACCCTACTCTCATCTTTCCTGTCTTCTCCTATTCTTCATTCCAATAGGCAGCCAAAAGAGAGCAGCCATAACCGGCGCACGAAAGTGCATGGTTAACGGTTGCACAAACTGAACTGAACTGAAGTCCATTGGGGGCTGGTATCCAGTTCATCAGATCATTCTCCCTTAGGACGGGGTCAAACGTCCAAGGNTAATACACCTTGATGCCCAATCGAGCCGGTGTCTCTTATCACGATCAGATAGGTATGGGTGGTTCGTACTCCTCTTTTTGGTTGGTTTGGAATCAGGATATTTAGCCAAATCCTGCAGATGAACTGTCAGTGGTTCACCGACCCGTTTATAGCCCCGGATTTTGGCTATCCGTTCTCTCTTTTTGGTGCGGGAAACACCGCCACGGGAAGGAAATGAACAGGGCTTCCTCACCAGAGGCTATTTGGGACGCTTGGTCGTTTCAAGAGGTGCAAGGGAGGGGTGACCAGCCGAGACACCCACCCCCGACCATACGGAGGCCTCCTAGACCCTTCCTCTCGACCAAAAATGACCAGAAAAAGTCCACACCAGTATGGAATTGTATTATTTTAGCTTATATACATCAAAACAAAGTATTCGATTTTTATCAATTGAAGAGCAAAGGTTAGCGCAACCTCTCAATATTATTCAGGGAAAAATAAGTAATTGAAAGATCGTGGAGAAACTTGTTTTTGTGATTTTACTGGACAGACTAGAAAGCATTGGAAGGAATTGAACCACAAGAATGTAGACACACAAGAATAATAAATTTCGCTCACCGCAAATGATTTCCACGTTTTAATCAAAGGCTCCATGGCGACACGTAGTTGTTTTCGGGCGTTAAATACACTGCTCACTTCGGCCAGCAAGGTCAATTTGAAATTTTCCATCGATCCAACATAAAGAAGAGTGGTACTGAAAAAGAAGGAAAAACACCTAAGTCGATGGAATCTAAGAGAGAGACAGAGAGTGCTGAGGACTGACATTCGGAACTTCCGTTGTATCTTACAAGACAGCGATCAAATTTTGGGGTTGAAACAAAGAAATGAGAACTAACATGCTGAACACAGAAATGCTCTAACACCGAATTCAACATTCAACCAACGGTGCAACAATGGGAACCCAAGAACACCGAAGTTTGTAGAATATGACTTACCGATATGTTTGACGCGAACCTCCGGGCAAGCCCTGAAAACTTGACACAAGCATATCGATCAAACTGGTTCCGAGGCCGCATGTGCTGAGTAGATCCAGGGCATCCGATAACCATCCCAACCAAGAGACACCTTCGGGACAGAATTCAGTCGGTTCATTTGGATCCGCGTCCATGGTGTTGTTCAGCTCGTTATCTAACTCGGTTNATTGGATCTAGACTACTGTGCACTCGAGCCAATAAATGAGAGTGGGACTGCAAACCCGAAGCATAATAAAAAAAATTGTGACTGGATTGAACCTTAAGATAGCACGTATTTTTCATTGCAATCAAAATGTCACCGTGATTTGTTTGGTGGTTATCAAAGAAATTCCATTTTTAAAACACTTCAATCGGGACATAATCCGAAAGGGAAACTGGATTAAAACCAAATTTTAAGTGTAGTGTGTGAACCCCTAACTCAGTTTAACAGATAACCTTTAATATAGTCTTGAAGTCAAGGTGCAACGACTCTCATGCCTCGTCCAGATAAAGGTTCAGCTTCACTAAAGCTACTACTTACTTTCTTTCGCAATTATTCTGGAATAAATTCATTTCATTTACTTCTTCGCACCTATCGCTTGTTGGAGTGGATAGGTCTGTGCCTCTGATATTTCGAATGGAAGCTTTACATGCTCGGGAGTTGGTGTCCAGATCAGAACTGATAGTGATCCAGCCGCGGTTTAGTATATCCTACTCCAAAAGCCCAGTACAGGCCTATGCGTTCCACCTCCGGCATGATCGCTTTGAACAATGTCGTGAGTTCGTCCCCAAGTATCCACGAGGAAATTATGAGAATAGGATACAAAATGACGACTTCCATGTCAGTCGGCCTTTTCTTTCGAGTTTGGACCTATGGCTGTTGCACAACCGATTAGCGGTGGTACTTGTTCCTAACACACACGTACAAACAATTAGTAAACCATTTGAATACCATCGTGGCGTTCAAAGCGGAGACACGATATTCCATACTATGTACATACAACAAACAATTATCCCGACCTCAAGTAAGTTCGCAAAAATATTTCATATCTTTGAAGCAAATTGAGACGCGCACTTAAATGCTTGTTTGCACTGAATCAAAAATATCCGAGTGATCGAATGCACAACACAATGATGATGAGCTAACGATTGAGTAAGTCATGTCAACATTTTGAGGAGCAACCGTCAGTGACTTAATAGAAGAACGCGTTACATTTACAAGAAAAAAGTGGATGTCCATAACAAGACCAGAGAACAGGAAAATCCGAATGGTGCTCAAATTGGTGCATATAAAATTAAAGTGATCAGGAGAACAAGGCACAAAAACAAGTCTCACTTGAATGTATGATTTTCGGAGTCGTTCTGCTTTGGCAATCAAGTCTCGATCGACCCGTGGGTCCAGATCTGCAACCTCAGATTGAGCTCCATTCATCGGATCCGTCTTCAATGATATCACAGAACCGGTTGTGGGCGCGGGTAGTTCGAGTGATTTAACTGCAACTGGCGGAGCTGGCTCATCGGAAAGTGGAACATCTCGAGACTGGATAAGCCAATGAAGATTGGTGATTGCGTGCAGCCGCTGACTCCAGTCAGTCAGAACACCGTGTCGTTTTTCCAAACTGTTTGCAGTGCGCAGGACATCGCGGTAGCAATCCGCAGCTTGAACGTACTGTAACGTTTGAGGAGAATCCAGGAGCACAAATTTGTAGAGACAATTCCTGTTGCAATCTTTTTGATGGTGGTAACTTATTCGCTTGATATCGGTATATTTATTGTTTTGTGCTCTTAGCTTTAAACATTTTCATTTACGCCTTACTCGCTCAACCAAACCAGTTGACTAAAGACAGCAACACGTAAAGACAGCATGAACGTAACTTGCAAAGCTGATGGCCACGAAAAATAAACTGAACTGTTGGTAACTGATAACTGCTTATTGATACCTCGGAGATGGACAACGAGGAATTTCAATCAGTGGCAATATTCATTAAGGAACCAATTCAAGTTTAGTAAACAGGTTGAGTTATTTCAATCGTCTGGCTCCCCTTTCACGAGCGTTTGACTAAAACAATTTGTACACCATATATGTAAATGTCGTGAGTTTAGGTTAACCGAATTGGAAAACACTGAGGATCAAATGAACAAAAGCTAGGTAGAACTGTGTTCAAACGTACTTCTTCTTTGATGATGAAACATCCGGCAGCGCCATTTTTATTAAATGCCCAGGTGCGTAACAGTCCTTCGCATTCGCGCCTCGTGTCATCCACCACTCGACGAATTACTTCAGTCATGGTGAAACATCTGTTGTTGATCGATTGAGGGGGAAAATCGGAGAAAACCAAGAGATGAAGCAGTGATCCAAACTTCAATTCCGTTCAAACCTGTTAAGGTGAGTGGCAGCTTGTCTGCCCTCTTATTTTTGCCATTGCCATTCAGGGATAAAAAGCATTTGAACAGCGGAGTATGCCCAAAGAGTGGGAGG